AAAAAAAAAAAAAAAATCTAATTAAATAAAATGAGCATATACTGCTTTGTATATTGCAAGTGTTTATTGAAAATTTTATCCTATGTGTTCAAAGTGACCTTATGAAATTTTTGTATTGTAGCAAACAGTCCTTTTTAATTTTTGGTTATTTTTCAGGTAGGGTCTTATGCTTTTTGTCCTGGTTGCCTGGACCGCGATCCTTCTACTTATACTTCTTCATAGCTGAGGTGATAGGCAAGGCCACCTTGCCCAGCTTATTGGTTGAGATGGGATCTCACTAACTCTTTGCTGAGACTGGCCTCAACCCACAATCTTCCTGATCTGCACCTCCTGAGTAGCTTAGATTATAGGTGTGCACCATCATGTCCAGCCTGTTTATGTATTTTTAACACTTTAAATGTTTTTCTATAGAATCTTTAAAAACTGCCCTTGCTGTTATTTTCTGTTGCTTATCATAAGAAATGTATCCTTTCTTTGGCTAAAATTATACTTATTTTCTCTTATTGTCACCGTGTGGTAACAGAAAATATTAGTCATTCTTTTTGTAACTGGCCCTCTAGTTTTTGTTTTTGGTGGTACTGGGGTTTAAACTCAGGGCCTCACACTTGCTAGGCAGGCGCTCTACCACTTGAGCCACTCTGCCAGCCCTACCTCCCGTCCATTTTGCTGCTCTGGTGTTTTGGAGTTGTAGCGGGGCGGGGCAGGGGGGGCGTCTCACTAACTATTTGCCCAAGCTGGCCTTGAACCATGATCCTCCTGATCTCATTCTCCCAAGTAGCTAGGATTATAGGCATAAGCCACCAGTGCTCAGCTTTTTAAAAATTTTATTTATTTATTTTTTATTTATTTTGAGACAAAGTCTTGCTGTATAACCCAGGCTGGCCTGGAACTCATGATCCTCCTGCCTCAGCCTCCTTAGTAACTGGGATTACAGGTGTGTACTTGGTTTCTGCTTTTTGAAATGATTAAATGACTTTTTAATTTTTCTTTTTCCAGTGTACGTTTGTTTTAAAAAATGAGGTCTGAGGCTGGTGGTGTGGCTAAAGTGGTAGCACATTTGAGGCCCTAATTTAAACCCCAGTACTGCCAAACAAGAACAACAAAAAAACCAAATCTGGGTACACTGTCCTTTTTATTGTTCCCTAATGACTCACAATTTTGTTTTAAAATACCATAGATTTCCCATGAATACTGAGGAAAGCATGACCTGTTAGGATATGGAAATAAACCTTAGTGATTAGCCTCATGTCCCCAAGAGGGGAGTCAGGCCCCCTTAGGTCTGCAGTTGAACTACTAATGAGCAATGAGGCCTTTTGCTCTTTTGTTCCCAGGTCCCCAGACTGAGGAATTGATGTCTGCTATCATGCATTCTATCCATAAAGTAAGGGTGAAAGCCCTAAAACGTGTGCAGAGAAATATAGGTTCTTTTGAGATGAATATATGGGAGCCTGTTGAAGAAGAAAAACCAGATGAGGTCCTAGGTTTTGACAAGTTTTCCTTGGGGACTAGTTTGAGTAGAAGTACCCTCACTGAGTTGGGCAGTTCCATGGTGCACAGTGATGCCGATACCGCAGATATGTTCTCTGAAGATTTGTTGCTTGAAGAAAAAACTAGGATACAGCTCTGTCAAAGGTACAGTTAAAATCTCCTAATAACAAGCATTCACTTCCTTTGGAAGAAAGTGTTCACTGTTTTCAGCACATTTCTAGTTCTAACAACCCTCCATGATTGTAGTATTAACCCCATGAAAACTCCCTATTCACATGGATATTACATGTGAGACGTACATTTGAAAATTTTTTTTGTATGTATGTGGTACTGTACTAGGCAAGCACTTTGTTACACAAATTATACCTCCAAACCTTTTTGCTTTAGGTTATTTTTCAGATAAGTTCTCTTGTTTTTTGGCCAGACTGGCCTTGGACCATGTTCTTTCTACCTATGCCTCTTGTATAGCTGGGAGGTGTGAACCATCATGCCCAGCTTGTTAGTTGAAATAGGTAGGGTCTTGCATTTTGTGTAAATATAAGTTTCTGTGATTTGAGATGGTTTTCTTTTTTTGGTTATATTTCCAGTAACTGCAATGGAGTTTATCCTTCTCTTGACTTTATTGTATGTACTCCAAACATCTGTTTGAACTGTATCTAATAGCATTTTATTTTATTTATTTTTGTTAGGATATATTCATTGTACAGGGAATTCATTGTGACAATTCTGAATAAGCTTACATTGTACATTGGTTAGATCACCTCCACTCCCCCAAACACCTCCCGCTCCACTTAAAGCAATTACAAGAGGTTTCTTTTTTCTATTTTGTGGAAGTATATGAAATCCATCAACTATATTCCCTTACCTTAATCTTCTTCATTCACCCTCCTCCCTCCCACAAGTCCCCCCTCTCATACCATGCTGGGTGCTTGTTTCACAAACATTGAGCTCAGATGTTAGCTCAGGTCTATCCTACAGGCTGCTTGTCGGGCATGCTCAGGAAGAAGAGATGTGCTTATCTCAGCTGGGGCGTCGCCTTTTCTCTTAACTGAAGGGTCTGAGACTCTGTCAAAAAGAAACTTTTGAAAGCAGTTGTGGCTGGGAGCTATGGTGCTTGCCCAGCAGGTTTCATAGCAGCTGAAAAGTGCTTTGAAAAGGTTCCCATGGTGAAACAAAAAAGGATAGTCCCACTTGTTGCACATAGGGTAAGAAGAACTGAACGGAATAGACAGCTACAAGAGAGAAATACAGCACCCTAAATTAAGATACTAGTATATTGGTAGCTTATTTTTTTTTTTGACTTTGTATTTCTAAATTCCAGTGTGAGGCCTATTTTTTTATTCCCCAGAACAGGCATTTATGTTCTTTTTTAATAGTGAAATTTCTGTGAACATATTTTAATTTTTTAACACAAACTTTCCCTTTGACTTTAGTATGTCTTTTTTTTTTTTTTTTTTTTTTAGTGGTGTTAGGGTTTGAACTCAGGGCTTCATACTTGCTAGGCAGTTGCTCTACCAATATGTCATATTTTTACCTCATATTATGTTCCTTTTCTTAGAGATCATTTAAATCTACTACCCCTCATTTAAAAGATAGGTAATTGAGGCACAAAAAAGATGCATGATTTATTCAGTAGAGAGAATTTTTAATGCCAATTCTAAGATCAATTTCAGTAATTAAACGGTTATTAATTTTGTTTTTCTTTTCAATTTCTTTTTTGCCATAGAAATGCCCCAAATCACATGGAATTAACATTGGCTGATAAGCCTAGTGATAAGAAGAAAATACATAAGCAGAAAGAAAATGCCACCAGGAAAAAAGATCACAAAAAGTTACCACAAAACACACTTCCTATAGTAGGTGTTTGGGAATTTGAGCGAGATGATGATGAATATATTAAGTTCCTTGATCTCTTCTTGAGTTATGTTCTCGAAAGAGACCTGAGTACTTCCAAGAATCCTGCCATTCCATTTCTTACCAGCTTTTCTGGACAGCTTAGAGAACATGAACTTAATTCGTTACTTTTTGATGTACATACAACATTGAAACGACGTCAGGACAAATCCAAAACCCAGAATGTGTTTAGAGCTGGCTCTTGCTTTGTTGTTGCTCCTGAGTCACACGAATCTGAAAAATCATCCTCTTTAAACAGTGGGCATCCCTTAACTTTTGAAAACCAGGCACTTTCAGTTTCAGAACTTGTTCATCAAGGGACCAGACCTTTTTCAGAGAACCCATTGAATGAAGTCAATAAAAATGAAGGAAAGAGTGGATTGTTTGGTTTAAAACAAAAGTCAATTTACAGAATTCAAGATGATAGTCGAGAGAAGCCTCTAATCCAGGAGAAACCTCTAATCCAGAGATTGTCAAACCACAGTTTTTGGGCTCCCAAGTCCATTAAAACTAGAAGGTGCAGTTTCAAAGCAGTTCAGTGCAATAATACTAACCCTCAGGAAGATCTTCCTCTGGCCCTTGAAAGTACATTTGGCAGCATAGGTAGACTGCTGGAGTGGATGATCAGGTGGTCTGATCGAAGACTCCTCTGTGATTCTATCACTCAGTTGTCCTGTGAGTACAGACCAGTGATTCGCGTAAAGACCTCAACAGCTGCCATTCTTACTTCCTTATGGCTCCTGGACCAGCCCTATTTTGCTACATATAAGGCAAATAATGCCGTTATTAAGGTAATTATATCACTTCTTAGAAACGAGGAAGTATCATTTTCAATTAAAACTGTGTTTATGTTCATCATCTCTTAAAGTAATGGAGAGTTAATGTCAGTGTTGCTTATACTGTGTTACCACCTAAGGTGTGTGTGTGTTTTCTCTTCTAGGGTTTCTTTAACTGCTAAAAATTCGAGGATCTTTTTAATCAGGCTAAGCTGTCTGTGTGGTGGTACAGGCCTGTAAACCCAGCACTCTGGAGGCTGAGGCAGGAGGATCTTGAGTTCAGGGCCTTGGCTGTATATCAAGTTCCATGCAAGCTTGGGTTAAACAGTGAGACCATATGTTAAAAAAGAAAATTAAAGTGAAAGTGCTTTCAGAGAGGCTGTGAAGGCTTTGACATTCTCTTAGGGTTTATGAAGAAGAAAAAGGGAAGATGATTCCAAGTTACATAATGAATGCTACTGCATTTATATTATTTCTCTGTCTCTCTCTCTCTTTAAAAACTTTTTTGGCAGTACTGGGGAATAAACCCAGGGCCCTGTGCTTTCTAGGCAAGTGCTCTACCACTTAAGCTATGCCCCCTCCGCCCAGGCCTTTTTGTTTGTATTTTGTTTTTGAGATGGAGTGTTGTGAGCTTTGTTTGGGCTGGTCTGAAATTCATGATCCTCCTGCCTCTACCTCTTCTCTCCTGGTAGCTGGGATTAGAGATGTATACCACCATGTCCAGCTATATTATATCTAAAAATTTTAAGTTTCAGGTTTTTGTTGAGAGGAAGGACTAGGTAGTTATCCAGTTTTTTATTACTGATATCTCATCAACTGCATTAGGGGATCTTTTTATTTATACTTTCTAGGTTAAGAGAGCTAACCTAGAAGGACAAATGTGTGTCAGTAGAGGAGCGGTGTTAACTAGACTTTCTTTTCTCTTAATCAAGGTTAGGATGAAGGCCTCATTCTAAAGCTGGGTATTCTAGGTTAACAGGTGCAAGAGTATGTGTGTGAGAGTTGTTTTATTTTTTGTTTTGTGAGTTTTCGTTTTTTTTATACCAGTTCTTTTATCCTAAGTTATACAGTTTATATTTGTCATGCTCACAACTTGTACTTCTAGGTAATATATAAATTTCTAAGTGAGATAAACGGGATACGTCCCTTATATTTTTAGTTACATGTATTTTTGTCCATTGTTTCATTTTGAAATAACTACTAAATGTCTTTATAATAGGAAAGAGAATGAAATGAGAGCATCCCATTTTTATTACCGTTGTTTTGTGGCCTGAAAACAATGACAGTATACTTAACAAATGTGGAAAGATGATTTCTTTAGGATGTCAGGCTTCCTTTTTTCCAAGTGGAATAAAGACCTAACCATTGCATCATCAACAAATACTGAGTTGTAGTAGTGAAGTAAATATTGATGAATAAAGAATTAATCAAGAAAATTTTGGTAAAAAGCTGTGCATCAGTGGCACATGCTGGTGATCCTAGCTACTTGGGAGGCTGAGATTGGGAGGGTCACTGTTTGAGGCAGTTCAGGCAAAAACTTTTCAAGACCCAGTCTCAACTAGTGGTTGGGTATTGTAATGCATACTGGTCATGCCAAGCTATGTGGCAGTCTGAGATTGGGAGGATTGTGGTTCTAGGCTAGCCCAGGCACCACCCCCCACAAAAAAAAAAATTAGTCCTATTTTAATGGAAAAAAGCTGGGTATGGTGGCATGCGTTTGTCATCCCAGTAATACAGAAAGCAAGAAATAAGAGGATCATTGTCCAGGTCAGCCTGGGCAAATAGTTCATGAGACTATATCCAAAATAACCTGAGAAAAAAGAGCTGGAAGTGTAGCTCGAGCTGTACTGTGCCTGTCTAGCAAGTACAAAGCCCTGAGTTCACCTCCCAGTACTGCCACAAAAAGTGGTAAAAGACAAGGGGTTCAATAATGAATATAAAATGCTATAAATGATTTGCTTTAGGTGCTAGAGAACCATTGCACTGCATTTCGGATGGCACCCAACATCAAGAGGGAGAGCAACACTGATGATGGCTGTTCAGTTGCAATAGTAGCTCAAGGTGGACCTGAGGGAAGAAATGATGACAGTGAATTGTGTCAAAGTGTCTTGAAGTAAGTTGCTGCTTACGTCCTCCTTTTCTATGGAAGTTAACTGATTTGTTAGTGTTTGGGCTTAAAGGAAAGACTTGAAATCTTGAGAGTTAAAGGAATGAGCATTTCTTTGATCTAGAGGAACAGGAAGTGAGATTTCTAAAGTGCTTTAATAATTCATTGCAAGTGATGTTTCTTTCCTGTTGGCCTAGCTTATATTTTGAGAGAGGAGCTGACTGATTCCAAGAGATCTCTTTATCATATTAATTTATTTCCCACATCAGAGGAAGTTGAGTTAATCCTTCTATCTAGTTTTACTTAGGAGGCAATAGTAGGAATAAAGTATCTTTTTTTCTTTCTTTTTTTTTTTTGTGGTACTGGAGTTTGAACTCAGGGAATATGCCTTGAGCCACTCAACCAGCCTTTTTTGTGATGGGTTTTTTTTCCCCCGAGATAGAGTTTTGCAAACTATTTTTCCGGGCTAGCTTTGAACCGTGATCCTCCTGATCTCTGCCTCTCGAGTAGCTAGGATTACAGGTGTGAACCACTGTCACCTGGCTAGTAATGTATCGTTGAATACTGTGTTAGTTAGCTTTGTACCACTATAACAAAATATCTGGAATAACCATCTTATAAAGACAAAAGGTTTATTTTGGCCTATCGTTTTTGGAGATTCCAGTCCATGATTAGTTGGCCTTACTGCTTTTGGGCCTGTGGTGTAGCCCATCATAGTGGGAGTGTGTATTAAGGCAAAACCACTCACTTCCTGACAAGGAAGAGAAAGAGAAAGGGAACAGGGTTTCATAGTCCCTTCAAGGGCACATTTCCAGGGACCCAAGGACCTTCCTCAAGGCCCTACCTCTTGAAGGTTGCACCACCAGCCAGTAGGGCTGTCCTGTAGGCCAGTCCTTTAACATAGACCTGTAAGGGGCATTCAGCATCCAAACTATGGCAAATACCAAGGCAAAAACCCTTAATACATGAAGATTCCTTTGTCAGGATGGTAATATCAGGTTGGAACTATTCTAATGTGTGTGTTGAGTAAATGAAAACTAGGTTGCCAGTAATTTATTAATAAGTTTTTACAGAGAAATGTAAAAAGATATAAAAAATGAAAGTGAAGTTTGTCCTCTGTTTAACAAAATGAATTAAATGAAAGCAAGCTCTTTGTAAGAATGAGGGTTTTTTTTGTAAGAATGAGTTTTAATTTTGCTGCATTTTTGTAGTAGAATGCAAACTGAAGCAGAAAATCCTGAAATTAAAAAAATCAATGGTGAGATTATTTCCATGACGCATAATACCAAAAAAGAATATACAGCTGTCCATGAAAATCCTTTTGAAGTAGACACATTTACACAGGATATGGATATGGATATGGATATGGATATCGATATGCATATATCAGACTGTGAAGGTCAGTTCATGTAAAATCATCTTTTTCTTTGGTTTTATTAATTTGATACTGATAAATGATACTTTCTGAAATAACTTACTTAGTTTTAAATTTAATACATTTACAATACCCTAAAACCAAAAATTACAAGAGAATGTTAAATTTATAAAATAACGAATATATTAACTTGTAATGTTAGTTTTTAATAAAACAAAGAAGATAAAAGGCATTTTTTGTATTGGTAGTTTCACAATTACTGGCCTCTTGCCCTCCCTGTGTAGTTGTCATAGGCCTCTTCATTCCTGTGAACCAACTTTGTGAGCCTCTCCCTGGCAGTCGTTCTTAAAGTAGGAACTTTCAGGCTTTACATGGAGTTGCACATATTGATACGAGAATTCTCAAGGCCTCTCTGGGATTTTACCTGATGAACAGGGAATAGCTTCTGGATTGAAATTTTTTTTTTTTGTAGTTCTGAAGACATGGCTCAAGTGTTTGAGCACTTGCCTAGCAAGTGAGAGACCCTGAGTTCAAACTCCAGTACTGAAAAAAAAATTGTGAGGATAGAAACTTTGTTATTATGTTTCTTTCCTATAATGTTCCCTATGCCTTTAAAAAAAAAAAACAAAAGATTAATTTTCAAATGATTAGTTTTCTCATTCTTTTTTATTTTCCTCCAGAAGAACCTGTTGAAAGTCTCAAAAGTCCCAATATTGCTACTTGCATGCCAGCTTCACCACAGCACTTAGAAGAAGTAAGTCAATAAATGGTGGAGAGAATTATTCAACTTTTGCCTAGTATTTGTTATACCTATATGTTTACCCATTGTTATAAAATACATAGAAATAAGGCTGTTATCTCTCTTTCCCTCTGTCCTTTTTGTCAGATTCAGCCTGCCACCTTTGTTTGTTTGTTTGTCTATTTAGATGATCTTGCTATGTAGCCCAGGCTAGCCTCAATTTCACCATGCTCCTTCCTCAGCCTTCTGAGTGCTCAGATTGTAGCATGCACCACTCTGCTTGGCAAAGCGGTTAATAACTCTCTACAAGTACACTATAGATCATAGAATATAGCCATGCCATGTAGCACTTTTCTTTCACTACATTCTATTACATGTTGAAAAATTTCATTATGTGAAATTTCACAAATTTACTTAAAGTGTCCTTTATTTACAAAGTGATGTTCAATGTAGTATACACTCTTATACCTACATATACTTTTTTGTATTATTTCTTTTCTTAAAACTCTACACTGAGTTTCTTGGTGGAACATAGACATTTCTAATTATTATAACATTTCTTTTAAAAAGGATGTTTTTCCTTATTTTGTACTTGCTCTCACAGGATAGTTAATACTTACAGAGTGATGAGTGTATGTGATTTATAATGTGTTAGTCTATTGACATCACCTTGTCTTTGTACCTTAACATGCTCAGTAGCTTAGAGTAATGGGCCAAAGGCAAGTCACACAGTATACAGCTCTGGTGAGAGCAGGACTGGGAGTACCTCTTTGTGCTCAATTTTTCACTTGTTTTGAGACTGTTGTTACTCTGGCTAGTTGCTAATGGGAAACTCAAAATATCTAACATACTACTAATAGTTATTTGTTTCACCCGCTTTCATTTTGTTTTCTCTTAATTTAAATGTTAACAGCATTCCATGGAAGAGGTTCATTGTCTCAGGAGAGAACCATTGGAGACAAAGATGGAGAGTAAATCAGTTGAGCAAAAAGGGTAAGGAGAGGAGAGTATGCAGTGATTAGTACTGGCTTTTTGATCTCAGTGAAGCTCCAGCTTTTGTCCCTTAAAATTTACAATTCTTATTTTATCGTGGTATTGTGTTTCCAATGAAATTGTAACTTTATAGCAATAGTAAACAATAATTTTGGTAAATGTTATACTTTTAAGTTGTGGCAAGGTGAAATAAATATAATACCTATCATGCTTTTTAAAAAACATTTGTAGTACTGGGGTTTGAAATCATGGCCTTTGACTTGCTAGGCTGGCACTTTATCACTTGAGCCACTCCCCTAACCCTTTTTCACTTTAGTAATTTTTCAAATAGGATCTTGCAGTTTTGCCTGAGTCTGGCCTCAGATCTCAGTCCTCCTTCCTACAAACTCCTGTGTAGCTGGGATCACAGATGCACCAATGTACCCAGCTTATTGGTTGAGATAGGAGTCTTGCTAACTTTCTGCCCAGGCTGGCCTCGAAGTTTAATCCTCCTGATCTCTGCCTCCGAAGTAGTTGGGATTACAGGTGTGAGCCATTGTGCCCATCCAAAATGCCTTTCGCTCTCCCATCACCTATCAGCCTTATCAAAATAAAAAATCACTATAAATAGACCGGAGTTTATTTATGTGCTAATTAGGGAACTGCCTTTCCATAGTGACTGAATCAAACACAGAACCATTATGGTTCGTAGATATATAAGCTGCTTCACTGTTATGCTTTGGCCACTGCCTACTGTCCATTAGGGCTCTGAGATACACATACTCTGCTGGTGGCTTCTTACAGCTTCAAGGAGAGCTGAAGGCAATTTTCATGTTGCAGATTAAACACAATTTCTTAATTTTTAGAATATTAGAGGTTTTAAAATTTTAGAATTATCGTGAATTAAGTGGCAGCATAATGAGATTTTCTTTCCTAATGTACAAATTTTGTTTAGTTCTAATGTGGGTAGTTAGTACAAAGAAGTTTTTTCTTTTTTTGCTATGCTAGAGATTGATGCTACAGGTTGCGCATGCTAGACAAGCACTTCACTGAGCTATATCCTCTGACCCACAAAAGAATATATTTAATGGCATGTGCCTTTTGAAGTAATACAGATATTTCTAAATGTCATAGTATTTATAAAATTGATATACTATTCATGAAAACTAGTCTTTACAGTTTCAGATGAGCCAGAGGGCTCTTTAGTATTCTCAGAAAAGCATTCACCTATTCTGTAGGAGTTGTTTGGGTCCCAGCTAACCTCATGTCCTCTGATTTTAGAGTCTATTATTTTTGTTGCTGAGAAATCCAGTGTGTAAGTCATGTTTTAAGTCATCCTGACATAGTCTGATTTTTTATTTGAATCTACTACTAATTGCTATGGAGACAAATGTAAACACACTTTGATTATGAGCTAAGCATTACAGAGAGATGTTTAGACTCTTAGATGGCTAAACATTAGTTTGCCTATACTTTAGAGAATGTGAAGAATATATTGCTTCCTAATCACTTCCTAATTTTTTTATAGTATGATTGAAGCCTTTTCAATTCCTGAACATAACATTCCTCATCCGTCTTGTGTAGATACAAGTTCAGAAACTTCTAGGTAAGAGTTTTTGTCTACTGTACCACTTTGAAATAATCATGTTTTACAAACAAGAGAATGAATTGATGTCTATGGAACCAATTTGAAATAATTGCTAAATGTTTAAACTAAAAATTAAGAATAAACAAAAGCAACGTGAAATCAAAAGAGCAACATAGGCATATATTTCTTATACCAGTTATCCAAAGATTTTTCATCTATCAGTTGTGTCTTCAAGACATACAGGAACTATGTTAGAATAATGTTTTCAGAAAAAAAAGTGGATGTATATGTGTAATTGTTGCTCATTTTCAGCTTCTGGTTCCTAATAGCATTTGAAATGTTTTAAATTCTCTTCAGATTTATCTTGTCTTTTCAACTTGTTTTATAGAGGTCAAACAGAATGGGTAGTGTTTAGAAATTTTGCTGAAAAACTCAGCACAACTTATCTTTAGAAGAAATTCACATAATTGGAATTGATCTCCTTGCCAGCCATTGAAAGCAAAGCCCAAAAAAGTTGTAAAACAGTTAATCAGTTGTAATGTCTGTTTTTCATGGATTTGCCAAATACAATTTTGTTATTGAGCATACTGGATGCTCGATAAAGGGTGAATATTGCTGAAAAGGAATGAATGTAAACTCAAACAAATCTAAGTACAATTTAGTATGTTCTTTTCCTTTTGGAAACAGTGACTAATTTATTTGAATATGATAATTGTCTGCTCCCTTATTTAGTTTATGAAATTTATTTGCCTAGAAAACATTGACTACTGGCTATGTTTAAGGAAGCATTCCCCAATAAACATTTTGTTTAAAAAACAAAAGCATTTTTGTTAGGTTTCTCATGAATGGAAACCCTAATTTGTTTGGAAATGCTGTGTTCACAATAATGTTGTTTCATGTTTAATAGTGACCAGCAGTCATTTGCGCTACTGATCCTAGAGTTCAACATCTTAACCCTTTCTTTCCTCAGTTTTCTTAACTCTATTCTAGATCATTAATTTTTCTCAGAAAATTTATTCCTTGGTGTGTATAGTTAGTTAGAATGATTGTACAGTTCTCAAACTCAGATGCCTGCAGGGACCAGGGCTGGGTTGTAACACCAAAGGGAGGTGCCATCACTGATTGAATGTGCATGCCCTCCCCCATACAGATACTCATGGTGAAAAATGATGGGTGGGTACAGAAGAGGTCCTAAGAAGTACAAAAGTAATTTTTTTTGGTGGGACTGGGATTTGAACTTAGGGCTTTGTGCTTGGAAAGCAGATGCTCTACTACTTGAGCCACACCTCCAGTCAATTTTGCATGGGGTATTTTGGAGATGGTATCTTGTGCACTATTTGCTTTGGCTGGCTTTGAACCATGATCCTCCTGATCTCAGCCTCCCAAGTGGCTGTGATTACAGGTTTGAATCACTGGTGCTTGGCCAGAATAATTTTAAATCTGAGAAAAAAGTGAGATTAAATATTCAGACACAGACATCCAATTGTTTTTTTTTTTTGTTGTTGTTGTTTTTTTTAATTTTATTATTCATATGTGCATACAAGTCTTGGGTCATTTCTCCCCCCTGCCCCCCAGTTGTTTTTGTTGATC